TCCCCAGGTGTCTGGGGCCCCAAGACTAGGAATGGCACAGGGCCCAAGCTAGGAGTAGAGAACAGTGGGGGAGATGGAAGGGTGAGCGCGGCTGGCGGAGTCCTCTTGATGATCTTTTAAAAGGATTTTTATTTATTATATACACTGTCAGTTTGGAAGTCAGAAAGTAGCTGATATAATGATAAGAAAGAATATGGGAGCCAGGCATTGTAGTGCATGCCTTTGATCCCAGCATTTGGGAGGCAGAATTAGGTAGATCTCTGTGAGGTTGAGGTCAGCTTGGTCTACATAAGTTCTAGGCCAGCTGGGCCTATAAGGAGACCCTGTCTCAGAAAACCAAAACCAAAACGGAAAGAGGAAGGAGGGATGGACAGACAGACTTTGGGGCCAGGAAGATGTACTGTAATAACCTCATTCAGTCTGTTTGTCCTCTGTAAAAATGAGCTCAGTGAAACTCAGAGATTGGTTGAGATAACATAATTCTTGGTCCAGGGCTGGAGAGATGGCTCAGCAGTTAAGAGTACTGACTGCTCTTGCAGAGGACCAGGGCTCAGTTCCCAGCACCGACATGGTGGTTAAGAGGTATCCTAACTCCAGTTCCAGGGGATTTGACACCTTCTTCTGACCTCCACAGGTATTAGATAGCACTGCTGCACTTACATACATGCAAGCAATATACTCATACACATAAAATAACTTTTTTAATTAAAAACACTTAAGAATTCTTGATCCAAGTTAATTTCTTTCCACTAGCCTCTCTGTAGTCTTAACCTGACCAGTTTTTCAACTAAAACTAAATATGTGTTATTAATTTTACAATTCCTATCTTTAAAACAATTTAAATCCAACACAGCAAAATAATTGTGGTTTTTTTCCCTCTATTTTGCCAAAATGGTATTCATTTCTTTGTTTTTGCTGTCTGTCTCTGACTCTAGGGGAGCATGTAACGTCAAGGTTTAAGAATGAAGTGGAGCGGATGGGTTTTGATATGAACAATGCCTGGAGGATTTCCAACATCAATGAGAAATACAAGTGAGTTACACGAATCCCCGTAGATTGTTTCACAGTCAGTACCTGTACAGAAGCCCCAACTCTCAGGTGGTAGAACACTGAACCTAGATATTTCCCTTGAAATAGGATTTTATTAAGTCTAAATGCAGAGTTCTTTTTCACCCTCTTGCTCATATTTTAGTTTCTAGAGTAGAAAGTAATCCTTACCTAGTAAGATCCTGGAACCTCCAGGCCTCTGTTCTTCCTACCACATACATATCTAGATGATACTGTGTTTATCTATAGGCAGCAATTTCCAGTGTTTTCAACACCACTTGGTATTACATTAGAGATAGGATCAATGGTCTCATAAACAGGGACAAACACTTAGGTGTGTGCATGCGTCATATGCGTGTATGTGTGTTCCTGTATATGTTCCTGTGAAGGTGTGGGTAGAGGCCAGGGGCCAGCCAGTGTTTGGTGTCTTCCTCTATCACTTTCCACCTCACTTTTTGAGATAGAGTCTCTCATTGATTCTGGGGCTTGCCAGTTCAAGACTAGCTTACCAACATGCTGTAGGGAGCTTTCTGTCTCCATTCCCCACCCCATTACTAGAAATATAGGCATGTGTAACCACACCCAGCTTTTTATATGGATGTTGGGGATCTGAACCTGGGTATATACTCAGCATAGTGAAGTTATACACTTTACTGACTTGAGTCATCTCCCCAAACCCTCTTTTTTTATTTATATTTTTATTTTATGTGTATGAGTGTATTGCCTGCATGTACTTAAGTGTATCTGTGTAATGCAGTGCCCACAGAGGTCAGATGAAGGTGTCAGAGCCCCTGGAATTATAGTTACAGATGGTTGTTAGTAGCCATGTAGGTGCTGAGACTGCTGAGCCATCTCTCCAGCCCCTTTATTGCTAGTTTTAATAACTAATTTAACTCCATTCTTGATATGTTGATCTAATACTGACTTTACAGCTATGATCATTTGGCCAATAAATGTTAATTAACCGTTATCAAATATTCAGCCATTACCTGTTTCCTTAAAACACGTGTTTTGGTGGGAGAAGGCAGTTCAGTACTGTGATTTTGGCGATCCAAGTTTCTGTAAAACATCATTGTCCAGTAGAAGAGTGAATATCTCTTCATAAGCGTCTTTGCAGCACTAATCATTCTTTGATTTGTTCAGGTGCTTCAAATGATGATAGCCATTTTCTTGCTCTAGTTGTAGCTGGGCATTTTTCACAGGAAAAGCTACCACTCATTACAGCGCTTTACAGGGGCCCTAACCAAGAATTTAAGAACCTGGGGTTTATAATAAGTCAAGAACTTAACTTTGAGAGATCACATTTTTGCTTATACTCAGAAATAAGTTGAAGTAGAAAAGAGAAAAACCAAGTAGTTTGAGCTTAAAAATTTTTGTCCTTGAGTCTACTGGTTTGAAGGTAGTTAAAAATCTGCCTTCAGAGGTTGAAACATTCTTCCTACTGCTAAAGAAGATTAAGAGCCAATTCTAGTCTTGAACATAAAAAGAACACTATGTAGTTAGAGTAGTAATTGTGATCACTGTCCCACATCATTTTTAATAGTTTGAGTGTTAGGAAGTTATATAGCTCTTCTCAATCACATCACCCTTCTGGTTCAGTGGCTTTTAGACTTCTGGTACTTTTATCTTCTGGAAAACAGAAAGGAAAGAGATTTAGTATAGAATGATCAAAGTTCCCAACTCCAAAGCCCACCTGTGGTATTCTGTCTCTTCTTCTAATGCATAGGCTGGGGCAGGGTGGTGGTAGTTGTGGAAAAGGTAATAGTTTCTGTTGTTTAAGATTTGGATTAAATTCCATACTGCCTTCACTGCTCAAAAGGAAGATTGAATTACCCAGAGAACATTGTCCTGTAAATAAAACCTATCAGGAGTACTGTTTCCCAGGTCACCAGCTTGACTAGAATGTAGCTAATATCTTTTGTTTAAAAATGCGGGGGCAAGGAGGAAAAAGAGGATAGTTGAAGAGATATAATTTTTATAGTTTCTTCTAAAGTATATTTTATAGAAATTATGATTAATAGATTCTTTACCAATTTGGCTCAATGGGACTATGGTTGTGTATTGTTTCTATGTGATCCCTGGTTGTGTTTGTTACTTAACAATTAGGACATTCTAGTTCAGACAAAGAATGAGTTAGGTAATCTAAAAGTGGTCTCTGGAAACCCCAAATGGTGAACTTTTGTCTATCACATGTTTCTATTTGATAAGAGCCTGAAAACAGAGAAGTGACATAGATGCTTGCTTCTATAATTGAACTGGGTACTCAAGTAGTTAGAAATGACCTTATTTGTTATTTGTTATAACAGAGAATTATCATGGAGAATAAAGAGTGTTCCACAACTCTGCTTTTTTCTTTTTATTTTTTTTAAATATATTTTTTAAAATTTTATGTGTATTATTGTATGTTATACAGTGGTATAGAGGTCAGAAGATGGTGTTGGATTCTCCTGGAACTGGAGTTAAGGATGGCCCTTAGCTGCTGTGTGGGTGCTGGGAATCGAACCTGGCTCCTCTGCAAGAGCAGCCTGTGCTCTTAACCACTAAGTCATCTCTCCAGCTCCAACTCTGCTTTTTTCATTGTTAGATTATTAGATTCCAGAAGGCAGAGTCAAGTAGAACAATCAAAGGTAGTATCACTTAATATATATAATTCAAGTAAACATTATGGCAGTCCATTCTGTTAAGAAGACCAAAACTCAGATACCGCTCCCCCTCCACCCCCAATGTGTCTCCTTTGCCATTCTTTTCCTGTGCTAGGGATTGAATGCAGGTCTTCAAACATTACGCAAGTACTTTCGTTGCCTTTTTAAATAACTTTGTGATAGTATGAACATATCCTTTTTGTGGCTCACATAATATCGCTTTCCCTCTACTTTTCCCTCTCCTCCTCCCCTCTTCCTCCTCTTATTTCTGTCTCCCGCCCTCCCCCAATCCTATCCCATCCCCTTTTTTATCTTTCTAACAGGCTTTGTGGTAGTTATCCGCAAGAGCTCATAGTACCTGCCTGGATCACTGACAAAGAACTAGAAAGTGTGGCAGGCTTCAGATCCTGGAAGCGCATCCCTGCTGTCATCTACAGGTAAGTAAGCCATACCAGCCCCAGTTTTGGCTGGTGCTACTACCCACTATCCACTGTCCTTATTGCTGCTAATCTGGCAAGTGCAGAGTAGGGTTCAGAGAACTTTCTAGGTGAGTCTGTACTTCCTTATTGCTAACACTGTTCCTCCAGTGAGGAGCACTCCAGCACTTACTGCACCCAGAACACCAGTTGGTGGTTCAGATGGACACTGATGAGAACATTTTAATGGGAAAGTGGGTGGCCTTGTTATTTCAAGATAATATTCTTTCTTGTGCTTACTGCATTTAGCTTCAGATGTTAGCAGGGCTTTTGTATTGGGAGATGAATGAGACCTAGGAGAATAGGTTAAATTAACTATGATTGTCTTTGTGGTTGACACTTTGACATACAGAAGGACTCTTGATTTGAGAGGGAGCCTTTAGAAAAGGCTAGGGCTGGATAGAAGATTTCAGAGATCAGAGGTATGAGAGCTGTGACTTCTTCTGGGGAGACATGAACAAACCTCTATTCCCACCAGGTAGGGCACTGACTACCGATCTAAGAAATGATTCTGCCTGATTTCTAGTTTGGTGAGCAATTGGATTTATTGAGGGTACTTAAAGGAGCATGGTTGCAAAGTGAGCTACAGGAGCATAGATGATTCAGAGGCAGCCACAGCATTGAAAAGCTTATTACCCCAGCAAAGATGATGATTCACAGAAGGTACATCACTGGAGTTCCTGCAGAACTTGCAGGCAGCTCCATCAAAGAGTCTCTTCTCCCCCAGCAAGTGTCTTTTGTAACCTCAGAGAGGGCACACAGTCTTCCTGAATCTTATGAGCCTCCTTATTCTTCTAGGAAGGAATATTTTAATTTAGAGGAAATAGCTATATGGGCAAGAGCAAAGGGAGACAAGTTTTAGAAAGGGATGGTGAGACAGTGCAGGTTCAGGAGTCATAGACCTGAGTTCATGTCTATTCTGATATTTTACTGTGGCACCTTGAGTAGTTCCCTAATTGACTCCTGTCTATTTCTGATGAGTAAAATGGGAAAGCTAATCCTTACTTTACAGATGTGCTGTGGTATGTATGTGACCGAGGGCCTATCAATACTGGCCTTCTTTAAGTGACATTTGTAATAGATTGTATTCTTGAGTGCTAGCTTTATATTCAGTGACATCTTGGCTCTTACAGAGTCATGTTAAATTGTTTTTATTTTTATTTTATGTAGATGTCTGCATGTATATAAGTGTACCACATGTGTACAATATCCATGGAGGTCAGAAGAGGGCATCAGATTCCCCATTAGAGGGAACTGGAATTAAGGACAGTTGTGAGCTGCCATGTGGGTGCTGGGTACCAAACCCAGGTCCTCCGGAAGAGCTTCCAGTGCTCTTAACTGCTGAACCACCTCTCCATTCCCAGAATCATGTTAAGATTTTAGGAAGTCATTATTACATCCTATAATATTAACATTCTCTATTTAATTTTTCTGGTTTATAGGCTCTTTTTGACTTGGTTTGTAGAATTGTTTTGGACTCTTGTCTGAATTGGGCCAAACCAATGGGTCGGCTAAAAACTGTCATTCCAGGAGCCATTCCACTCAAATATTGAGACCATAGGAAGGTATTTTTCTTGTGGAATTCCCTTGGGGGTAACCATCTTGTTCATTTAGCCCATTGAAAGCAAATTCTGATGTCCAACCCTGAATAGAGATTGAAAGTTACTTGCTGTGGCCCAGGAGAACCCATTATGCCTTCTATCTCAATGTTCATCACTTTTATTTTCAGATACTCATGGAAAAGTAGGTCACTAAATTTACCTTTCATTCAAGTGGTGAGAGTGACGGGAATTAGAGAGAAGTGAAAGCTGAAGGGATTTGTGAGTCTTATCAGGGAGCAGCCCCTTTGGAATGGGGAAAGGCCGCCTGCTCCTTTTCTGACCAACAGCTGCGTTAGATCAGCTGCCTGGCATTTATGAGACTTTCTGATTTGGCACATAAGGGAAAAATACTCTAATTTTCCAAGTAAGGGCTTTCAGTGAATTCTCCCCTTAGGCAAAAAGCCTAAGAGTACTACTAAGATACAACTTTAGAATGTAATAAAATTATAAACTTTTTTTGTTCTTACCTGGTGTTATGGTTTGATTCTTCATTGCTGTGACAAAACACTCTGACCAGTACCAACTTGGGGAGGAAAGGGTTTATGTATCTTACATCTCCCAGGTCACAGTTCATCAAGGAGCCCAAGGTAGGAACTCAGGGCAGGAACCTGGAGGCAGGAGCTGGAGCACAGGCCATGGAGGAATGCTGCTTACAGGCTTGCTCTCTTGGCCCCTGCTCAGCCTGCTTTCTTATGCAACACAGGCCCACCTGCCCAGGGGTGGCACCACCCACAGTGGGCTGGGCCCTCCCACATCACTCATCAAGAAGATGCCCCACAGACATGGCCACAGGCCAGTCCAATAGAGGCGATTCCCCAACTGAGGCTCCCTCAACCCAGGTGTGTCAAGTTGACACTAAAGCTATCCACCACACCTGGATTTAGATATATCTATGGGCTGCAGCAGTGATTTCTGATCAGAGGTCACTAGCAGCAGTTACATGACAGCACTGAGCTGAACCAGCACCTGATTAAGATTTTCTCCTACTTTAGTAGGAGAACACTTCATTGGGTTTCTAGCCAAAGATGGAAATTGCTTAAACACAGCAAGATAATAAGTTGCCCATCTGGAGTGCAGTACATGATGCCTCTGTCTGTAGACATGGTGATCATTAGAAATGTCTAGGCCTATGGGGAGCTTGCCTGACTCTTAGTTAGGGGAAGTTAAAACAATTCTGTTTTTTGGTAAAATTGAAGCATTCGGTGTTTTGATAGGTAGAGTTCATTCATTGGAACTTTTACTTCTTGGTAGTTTTCCAAGTTGTTAAAATGGTAAAATACTTGCTTAATTAATTTTACTTTTAAAAGTGATTTTTAGCTGTAGCATGTGAGCTATCTTTCATGCAGTCTAAAGCATTTTAGTAGATTGAGAAAACAACTGCTACTTAACAGTAGCCCAGTTGAAATCTAGCTATCAGGCCAGCAACCCTGAAAACCCAAGACCCAGCAGGAACAGTGCTGGGAAGTGCTAGGAAGCCTTGCAGAGGCCACTTGGGAGACTCCACCACTCTTTTCTGGGAGGTTTGCAATCATTAAGCTCACTGATTACCCAGTAGGAAAGCATGTCAAGAATCCATGGAGTGTTTCTTTTTTGTTTTGTTTTTAAATTTTTATTTATTATTTTTATGTGTATGAGTGTATTGCCTGCATGTAGGTAAGTGCACCCGTGTTGTACAATGCCCGTGGAGGTCAGAAGAGGCTGTCAGATCCCCTGGAACTGGAGTTACGAACAGTTAGTAGCTGTCATATGGGTTCTGGGAATCGAACCCAGGTCTTCTGCAAGAACATCCAGTGTTCTTAACCGCTGAACCATCCCTCCAGCCCCCGGAGGTTTTAAAAAATAATAAATAAAAATTTTAATAAAAGGGCTGAGAGATAGCTCAGCTGTTAAGAGCATTGACCACTCTTGCAGAGGACCTGGGTTCAATTCCCAGCACTCACATGTCTGTAACTCCAGTTCCAGGGGATCTGACACCGTCTTCTGCCTCAGGCATTGCATAACACAGGTGCACTTACGCATGTGCACACCAAACATTGATACACATAAAATAAAAATAATAAATAAAAATTAAAAAAAAAGAATTCATGGAGTTTTATTTCACTTAGCTTCATTTACATGTGAGCCATTTGAGTATGTTGGCAAGGTATGCCTACTTTAGCTACTTCTTTCTCACAGTGAGGGAGGACTGAAAAACTGTAAGCAGACTCTTCTAGTGGAATTTGATTGTTGCTAAACTTAATTTATTATTTGTGAACTTAAAGATCAATAAAACAAAAAAATTTCCTTACATTGTTCTCTAAAGAAGAAAAATAGATTTAATACCATGTTTTGTATCAGTCCATTTGTGCCATGTTACATATTTCTGTGTAGATTTGCATGTGCATCTTTAAAAGCAAGTTTTAAAGAGCATGAATATTTTCTTTCTGAGATACAGAATTGGTGGGCATTTAAATTTTTGCTTACCAGATTTTAAAAAATTATTTATTTATTGGAACTGGAGAAATGGCTCTGTACTTGCTTGCAGAGGACTATGGAGTTCTGGTTCCTAGCACCCACATCGGGCAGCTTACAACCACCAGTAACTCCAGCTCCAGGGATCTGATGTCCTCTTTGGGCTTCTGTGGGCACCCACACACATCTGTGCATATACATATGAACCATGCACATATACAGAAATAAAAAGAAAACAAAATCTTTAAAAAGTTGTATTTATTTATTATATATTATGTGCAGGATATGTGTGGGCACATGTGCCTCGGCACATGTATGGAGATCAGAGAACAACTTTGTGAAGTCAGTTCTCCTTCTACCATTACATGGGTTTGGGGATGGACCAGGTCACCAGGCATGAGCAATAACAGCCTTTATTCTCTGAGCTCTCTTTCATTGGCCCACTTGCCAAATTTTTATTCTGACAATTTTTTTTTATAGTGAGCTAGTTACTTTTATAATTTAAAAGCTTTAAGAATGTCATATACAATGACTTTTTAAAAAAACATACAATTCATCAACTTACATTTAGAGTTGTTATGACCTACCTCAATAATCAATTTTACTATATTTTCATGACCTAAAAAAGAAACCTCATTAGCAGTCATTCCTTACTTTCCTAGCTGTCTTAGCCCAAGATAACCAGAACTATAACTCATGTTTCTCTAGATTTATATGTTCTGGATACTGCATATAAATAGAATCTCACATTACCTTTGTGATGGGCTCATTCACTTAATGTAGCATGTTCCAATTTCATCAGTGATGCAGTATGTATCTGAACTTTATTCCCTTTTACTGTTAATAATATATTTTTTTGTGTAATTTTGATACAGGGTCTCACTATGTAGTCCTGACTGGCCTGGAACTCAGTATGTAGACCAGGTTGGCCTTGAGCTCAAAAAGATCTGCCTGCTTCTGCCTCCTGAGTGCTGGGATTGAAGACATGCCTGGCTAAATAATACAATTTTTTCAAAGGTTTAATTGCCTTCCTGGAAAATATCTGGGGTTTTGATAACATCTTAAAGTAGACTATGAGTATTATTTGTATTATTTCTGCTTTTGAAAAAGGATTTGTCAGATTATGGTTTACAGGGATTTCTCACTTGTCCCTTTTCAAGAGCCTGATGATTCATTGAGTGCTATGCCTATTGTAAGAGTAATTTGTGACTCATGAAGTCTCAGGAGATCTTGTAAAGGACTCCACTGCAAGTCAGATAAGTGTTCCAGTTGCAGAGACAGGATCTATTTATAAAGAATCCTCAAGCCAGCAGTAAGTAGTGGCTACATGATTGCTGCTGTGGGCCCTCAGAAGTGAGTCAACACAGCTCTTCTACTCCAGCATCTATTATTTGGTTCAGTATCAGAAATGAGGAATTTGTTGGGTAGTAGATTAGTGTAGTATTCATAGATTTTTTTAAACTCCTATTTCCCCAAAATAAATTTGAAAATAAATCGTGAATGTTGCTTTATTTCCTCTAAGAGTACTCACTGATCATTTTGTTCGTAATTTTATAGAGGGCTCTGTGATGGTATGATAATTCAGAAGTTATATAGGTTTTGTTACTGTTGGTGAGTAGGTTTATGTCCCTGTTAATATTGAGTGGACTTGAAGCCAATTCAGTATTTATTTAGTGTCAGGCTATTTGTTAGCGAACTTAAAATCAGCTACCACACTTTTTATCTGAATATAGAGCATTTGAATGGGGTCTTTGGGATGGTACAGTTACTCTGTCTTGTTCCCCACACAGGCACCAGAGCAATGGAGCTGTCATTGCCCGCTGTGGACAGCCGGAGGTTAGCTGGTGGGGCTGGCGAAATGCAGATGATGAGCACCTGGTACAGTCGGTTGCCAAAGCTTGTGCTTCTGACTCTCGATCAAGTGTCAGCAAGATTTCAGCTAGGAACAGTTCTCGAGACTTTCCCAATGGAGACCTTTTAGATGTGGAGTTTGGTAAGGTGCTCCCTAGACCTGTGGCAGCAGTTTTTAATAGCACCTGGGAACTTTATATCGAAGTGGCTTCTACCTTAGAAAACAGAGGGTTAGTTTCATACAGAGGGTTAGTTTCATAGAAGAGAGAATGTAGTGTGATTGAGGAGTCATGGGTCTTGCAAAGAACTAGAAGATCTTTTGTTTCGAGCTTGGTTTAAGAGTCTAGAGTTGTCTTCCTTGGCACCATGAGGAGAATGGAGTACATGTGTGATGAGGACTTGCAGTGTCTCTAGTCTGTGGAGAAAAATACCAGCTTTTATGGAAGGACTACTGGTATAGAAATGGGGTTGGAGATTGGGCTATGTGGATCTCCATGTCCTACAGGAATTGGTTTTGAAATAAATCCTCATCAACTTTTAAATAGAAAATAAACTGAAGCCAAGTTTTGAATGTCAAAGGTCTAGTCAGGGGGTTTCATTTAATTGCTTTTTTAAATTTTATTTTATGTGTATGTGTGTATTGCCTGCATGTAGGTAAGTATACCTGTGTCATGTCATGAAATGCCCGCGGAGGTCAGAAGAGGCTGTCGGATCCCCTGGGACTGGAGTTACAGACAGTTGTTAGCTGCCATGTGGGTTCTGGGATTCGAACCCGGGTCTTCTGTAAGAACAACTAGTGTTCTTAACCGCTGAGCCATCTCTCCAGCCCCCTTAATTGCCTTTTTAAAAAAATAAGCAACAAAAAAACTATGATATGTACCTGTGGTTCTAATTCTCACAGTTACAGGAGAGATAAATTCATTTAATTTTTAATCCCTTCTTGATATCCACAGATTCTTCTCTGTCAAATGCTTCAGGAGCAGAGAGTTTGGCTATCCAGCCGCAGAAGCTTTTGATCTTGGATGCACGGTCCTATGCAGCAGCTGTGGCAAATCGAGCCAAAGGAGGAGGCTGCGAATGTCCAGGTGAGTATATGTCACTCTGTCCCCGATAATCTGTTCTTGTCAGTGCAGCTCACTCACAACCTAGACTTAGTTAAAAATGAATGGCAAGCCATATTCCTCACCCTGTATCCAGAGAGCCAGAGTGTCTCTTTGGATTCTTAATACTCTGTGCTTTTAGAAGAGGTGCAATGAAGCAAATCTTCCTTCCTTATGCCAACCTTTAGGTGACAAGGAAAGTGGATCTTCTCCCACAGGTCTTTTAGTGCTGCTTTAGAGGCTCATTTCTTAAGTCTGGTCTTCTAAAAACATTTTTGTCTCTGGCAAAACGTATGCTTATCACTAGCCTCCTAGCATCCTCCCCAGGCTTCTCCCTAGAAAAGCAGGGATCAAAATTGAAGCAGCAAATACAGAACTGTAGTTAAAGGTGCCCTGTCTGAATCTGTCACACCCTTGCTGTTTGAAAGCTGGTTTCCCCAAGAGGGACCTCTTCTGTGCCAGTTATGTGCTGATGATGCAGGAAGAAGCACCATCCTCCTTTTTCAGATATGAGCTAAACTGAAAATTGAAAGTAGCTGTACCAGGGTGAAATGTGAAGGAATGAACGAAGGCATTGTTCTGCTAGGCTCTTTTGAAGAGATTCTAGAGCCATGAGTTAGATGAGGCATAAGAAGCAAAGTTAGAGTGAGATGGAAGTTTGTAGTCCTTCCTTTTAAAGATAACAGCCATTATCATTACACGTCTAATTTTCCTTTTTCTCAAAGACAACTAAATCTCAGGCATTGTTTCCCTCTTAGAATAAAGCACTGGGCTAATAGTGAAGCATCAGCATTGCTGTTTCATTAGCAGCTACAGTGGGTTTGTTTTATAGCCAGTTTGTTTCTTTTAAGTTTGGCCATGTGATCTTTAAATTCAACACATTTGTGTTTTCTTTATTGTTGTTCTTTCCAGAGTATTACCCAAACTGTGAAGTTGTATTTATGGGAATGGCAAACATTCATTCTATTCGGAGGAGTTTTCAGTCTCTGCGATTACTGTGTACACAAATGCCAGATCCTGGAAAGTAAGACTTTGGCTTTAATTTTGTGTGTTCTTTTTGTTTTTTAATGAGTTTGGCGGCCTCCTCCTCC